GTTTCCCGGTACAAGTGTCTAGCCCATACAGTCTCCCTGATGGACACTCTTCCCCTGCCCTTGTCTATCTTGAACAGTAGCTGCAAGATATAAACAAGCAAGACCCCAGGTCCAGCTGTTTCCCTGTCCTCTTTGCTCTCCCTGGTTCATGCTGATCCTAAACAGCACAGCCAAGTCCAGATGAGAAGCAGACAGCTAAAAAAATGACAATCCTCAGTTGTCTATCAGAAGGGCTTGGCAGGGTCCTGCTGCTGCCTCTGTTAGCAGCTGGAAAATGCTGCTCAGCCTGCATACCTGAGGCTTGGCATGCCTTTCCCTCAGGGAAGGGGATTTGGCATCTGCTCTAGGTAAAAGGCCCTGGCAAGGGGTGACAATGCATTTTGAGGGGTTGCTTTGCATCAGAAGAGTGGCCCAGCTCGGGGCTCCCAGGAGAGCCAGGCTGTGCCTCCCTGCTGCCCATCTCTGCCCCCTATTTTGCAGCAATCCATGAGCCAGCTGGGCAGGGCATCATGTCCCTCCTCTGCCCAACACAGGCAGCTACCAGCCCCATAGGAGTTACAGTGCTGCTTGCAGACCCATCTTCCCAGTAATTTTCCTAGCCCAGCTCACCCTCACTAAAACAGTGACCCAGATGTGACCCTGACACCGCCGGTAGCTCAACAACCCTCCAGAGACAAGGTTCAACCTCAGTCAGAGCCCCTGGCTTTCCCAAGGGATGAGGTCAGGCTCAGACACCCCAAAGTCTCCATCTTCCTCCTCGCCAGCCATGGCTCCACTGCCCTGCTGTGGGTCGGAGGCTGGGGAACATGCTGACGAAGGGAGATTTTGTCTCGGCGCGTCAGTCAGGCTTAGGGGCCCACCGAGCGGCGGGGGCCATGAGGGCAGGCTGCTGGGTACACCATCACACCCACATTGCCATCTAGCCTCCTGTTCTGGGATGTGCAGCTCGCTGCCCTCACCGTTGCCAACCCACTGTTGCTCGCTTTAAACCAAAGCCCTGTTTCTGGCTGCATCACCCCCACTTCGGCTGGGGTTTCAGCTATCTCCCCTTTTTCCCAGCCCCCAAAGTCACTGCTTGCCTCCCCCAGCTGTGGGGTCGATCCACACAGCTGGCACAGGGCCACGAGACAGGGCTGCCTGTCTCCCAGTCATGGTCTCCAAGCAGATGGAAGACATCAGCTCCCTGCTGCATCCTTCCACGATAATCTGTCTCACCCACTTCCTTTCAGGGACACCCCTTCTCACAGCCAGTTAATCCCCAGTGCTTGCCTGTCTCTTTCCAGACCCCAGTCCTCACCAGAGAGCCTCATCACAACTCTTTTCTGAGCAAGCATGTCCCCAAAGGCTATCTCTCCCTACCCATGCAGGATGCTCTAAGAAAAGACCCCTCTTCCCCAACCCCCATGGAAGAATGTCTGGACACAAAGTCCCCACCATCACCAGATGAACAGGCACCCTCTGGGGAGCTTCAGCTGATGCAAACCCCATATCCAAATGCACAAGAGTAGACACTAACCCAGGGACCCAGTCAAAGCTGACCAGGGAGGCACATTTGCAGTGGGGCAAGAAGAGCCTAGGAGGACTCTGCCTTTGGTTTCCCCATCCCTCTGCAGTGGGTGGCAGCTCCCCCAGAGGCTGCTCAGATGAGGGAATTCCCCCTAACCGTGTCTCACACAGAGAAATGTTTCCATTTAACATATAAAATCATGTTAATGGCAGAATAATAAACATAAACAGGGAACAGGGGAGAGAATGACATTCTGGCAGCAGCTGAGACAGGTATTGTTTTGGTTTATTTTCCCTCTTCTGAGGGAACCATCCCACCTGGCTGCAGCCATCCTTTAATAAAAGGACCTGCAGGAAGAACTGCTATGCAGAGGAAATCACATCTGCTTTCCTGGTAGGATGGATGCACAAGGAAAAACCTCCTATTTGGGCTTCAGGCAGATCCCAAAGAAGGATGCCACAAGCCAAAGCCCAGGAAACCCAGCAGCTGCATCACTGCCTTGCTGCTCAGAAGGCAGCAAGGGTACATCTGGAGAAGAGCAGAGGGCAGCCTGGAAGTTGAAAGCAAATGGTTATCATCCCCTAGGCCAAAAGAAAAGAGAGGATCTGGAACTGAGGAGTCTTGAGCAGGACCTGCTCAAAGAAAAAGAGAGAGAGCCTGGAGAACCCACATCAGCCTGGGCTGCTGGCAAGGCCCAATCCACCTGCACAGGCTCTGCAGTCAGAGCAGCACTGGAGCAGTACTGGAACAGTCAGGGGCTTGACTGTCTCACAGCCCTGGTGGAGCCAAAGTCAGTGGGATGGGTGGGAGCAGGCTAAGGGCTCATCCACAAGACTGACCCTTTCCCCTAAGAGAGATACTGCCACAGGCAGCGCCTGGAATTTGCCAAGCACAGAGCTGTGGCTCTGTGCCAAGCACAGGCCAGGGATTTCTGCTGAGGTTATGTTCCTCATGAGGCAAGACAGGTAAAAACTGCAGGAGACGCGCTACAGGATATGCTTAGCTTAGCTGTCTGCATGTCTGCTTATTAAGCTCTGAGATTAAGGATTTAGTTCCACATATCAGTTTACTTAGAACTAAAGCATCACTTCACATTTCAATCTCAAGTATGCTGCATTGTCTTGCCCACTTCCTCTCATGCCCTCTCCCCATGACCTCTTCCTCAGAAAAATGTTGGAAAGTTATTAGCAAATATTCTGTGAATTGTTTAATATCCAAACAGCAGGATCTGTGCATCCCATGAGAGATTCATAGCCCTTATGATCAGGACAAGAAAAACAAGGATTGTTTGCAGGCCCCCAGGTCCTACTGGTAGATGCTTTGAAAGTGGAGTTGTTGCCAAGCAAAAATCTCACAGTAAAACATCCCTTTACATGTGTTATAAACCAGGCTAGCTGGGACCGAGGTATTCCAGCTTAGGATAGACCCCACTTCCACTCTGCTAACAGACTTTGCACAGAAACAAATACCCCATACAAGTGCCATTTGAAACTCTACTTTCCAGTGCTGTGCTAGTGGAAGCCATCTTCTTCTTCTGTTCTCAAAAGGATTTACATTGAGGAAGGCTGAGTTCCTTCTATCTGTCATAGGCAGGAAGGCCATGACAGACCTTTCAATTTGCTTATGATTTGTTTATTAATAAACTATAGAAGTATTTGTTTATGTGTTTATCAAGGCTGGAGGAGTTTCAAAGGTTGTAGAAGGTTTTCTAAAGCAAGACTGCAGAGCTGTTGAGTGGCATAAACACTTCCCCTAAAAATGCATAAAATCATGTACTCTTTTTCTACTCAAAATACTTTAGTCTACTACTGGGATGAGCTTTGAAAAAGCTAAAAACCACACCTGAAGTGGGCTGTGAAGATTTATCCACTGACGGCAGGGCACAATGCTGCCTTTCCCACCTCTTAGCCAAACTCAGAAAGATTCAGCACCCTGTAGCCCTTGCTGGTGCCAGCGTTTATCCCAAAAAAATAAAAAAGAGCACCAGGAGCATCCCATGCTGACCCAGGAACAAATTTAACTAGGGAAAAAGGCAATGGATAATGTCTGAGACATCAGGCTGTGCCATGCCCCTGTGACACAGAAGCAAACCCCACCCAAGGGAGGGAGGCCAGTCATGCTTATCGTGGTGACTGGCACGCAGAGTTTGTTCGCTGTCCCACTTAGAAAAGTAGCATAAACACCTCCTCTGAGCATGGACAGCTCTGGAAGTTGACTGCACTCAGATAGGCTGGAAACACTGACTTCAGGTGAGCATCTGCTCTGCTGCTATGCCAGTGGGCAGACACCTATGGAGGAGGCAGGCTGAGGGCTTAAAGGCAATGCCCACAGGGCTCAGAGGACTCAGAGCAGCAGACCCAATGTTCCCTGGCCCATGGACAACAGCGAACAAGGAACGTGCTGCCGGCAGCAGATAATTCTGTTTTCCCACAGAACTGAGTTCACAGAGAAGTTTTACTGAGTGGGACAGTGCTATAACTTAAAGGTTAACGCTGAAATTATAGTATCATCTTTTGTGCATTACCTGGAATAATGGAGTTCAAAGGGATCCGGGACTTGCCTTTTCCATGAGTGATGTGGATTTCACAGTGGGAAGCATGGGGCAGATACATCTGCAAGGAGTAACTGGCGTGGAGTGTAGAATAGCTCAGCACTGCACTCTTCAGATCTTCACACTGGGGGCAACGTAGTGCCAAGGTAAGGAGCTTTCCCAGCAGAAGAGAAGGGCAAGGCAGAGCCAGCCACCACAGCCACCAGACCTGTGAGGAGTCAGCTCGATGGCCTGAAGCTGGCCAGACTCCTGCTGACTGCACCCCCTGCACCCTCTTCCCCAGCACTGCTCTATCAAGGACTGCTCTGCCCCAATGTCCCTTTACCGGCCATGAGCACGAAGTTTCTCTGCTCAGCTCCACAGAAACATAGCTGTTTGGCTCCTGGATCACAGCTGGCCCTGAAAACAACACTAGCATTTGCCTGCTGTTGTACCTGAGCTTAAGAAGCTGGACAACAGCCAGTCTCACCAAATAACATCACAGACAATGTCTGACAACTGTCCCAAAAAGGAATACAAAAGGAAGGTTCTTTCTGTGGACCTTTCAATCTGAACTCAGCCCTTGCATTAATCGGAGAACACAATTTTCAGAGGTTGGTCAGGTGGAGAGCACAGGCTGCATCTCAAACCCACCCCATTCAGCTCCCCTTCCTACCTCTGCATGCCCTGTTCAGCCACACGCTGCTGAAGTTGTAGGCCACCATGTTCTCCTGATTCTGATTCCTCCTAAATACTTTTCTTAGGAAAAAACAGAGAAACTAATCTTATTGAATGTCCCCAAGGCACCAATAGTTCATTTTGTATCTCTCCTACTCTGTTACTTGTGAATCCATTTTGTAGACCCCAGTGTCACTGGACCAGGGACTGAACTTTGTGTCTTGCTCGTGGGGAACTGGGAAAGGCAGAAATAGGGAAAAGAGAGCATAAGCAGTACAGAACAAGGATTTTCATGTTCTCATTTTAATGATGACAGACCAAATTAACACCACAGGAACAGTAAGGGTGAAGGACCACTTCCCAAACAAACTGCAGATGTTCTGTGAAATAAATCAACCTTCTTTTGGAGAAAAAGAAACTATTTCAACATTTAAACTAGTTGCTTGTAATTCTTAAATAGAAGGAGAGACTCTTGATGAACCTCAACTTTTTCATGTTTCATCAGTTTGTAAAGGAGGACCAAATAACATCTACTGTATGAAAGGATATAACAGGATTGCTAAAGAACTCTCTTAGCTTTCACACAAAGTTGCGGGCAATGGCCAATACTTTGGAGAACTCGCCTTCTTTCCGTCGCAGGATATAGGGTATTGGTGTTTTTATCCTAGTCCCGATTGGATTTCCGTTATCTTCTATGAGTACCACATTGTTGGAATCAAACCTAGGTGTCATGGTGGGGCCAGGCATCTTGTGCCCTACAATTAAAGCTTTCTTCTTTTCTCCTTTGATAGCCAGGAGGATTTTATCTCCTACTTTGCCAACTCCGGTCTTGTTATACACGTGGATACATTTTGGTGGCCGGTGGTAGGACGTGTTCCCCAAGGCGCTGTTGTCCACCACTCGCACGCGGGTGAGTTTCTGTATTGCTCGGCATGCTCCAGTGGTGCTAGCATAAGACAGGAAAGAATGAGAGACAGATCTCCTCAATAATCCTTGAGGAGAAAGGGCAAACTCGGCACAGAATCTTGTCATTACACAAACCACTCGGAAGGCGCCAGCAATAAATACATACCATATGGCTGACACATTGACTGCGTTCAATGTGCTCTTTGAAAGCCAGATGCTACTTTGGGCTTTGCACACTCGTCACTAAATGTCAAACATAAAACGACCGTTCTCCTCTGAAACACGACTAAAAGATGGCGTGAAGAGTGGCTTGCATTTCATGGGCTCTTTAGCAACTGCAGATGATTCAACTTCAATTTACAAGCAAAAAAATGTGCTTGCTTCTGTTACAAACAGCCTGCAGGAAGCTAAGACTCAAGTCAGGCTCTTTCAATCTTGTACACATTCCCCAGCAATAAGGACTTTTATGACCAATCTTCTTTTTAGTGAAGTCTGTGAGGGTCTCCCATTTTATTCTGCTCTCAGTAAGATCTCTGAGGACCTGCTGTGGCTGTGCTAAGCTGTCACCAACTAGAATCTAAGAGATCATCACCTTTCCCATGTGGGAGGAATCCAGAAAGATACAGTCTCTTCTGTATCTGTTTGCTCTGTGGGATTATCAGAAGCAAGGAACAACAGAAATAAACTGCACAATACTAGTTAGATCTGACTCAGAATATGCTTGAGAACAGCAGGAATAAACTCCCTTACAGAAACCACTATTCTTCTATTCAGTGAGCTCAAACTTAAGTGATTTGTTGCTTCTCTTCAAAGGACACCCAAACACAGACCATTGGAAAAGCAGAAAAATCCTTTCTACTGCTAAACAACTGCTTTGCATTAAGGTATAGAAACATGCTGGCCAGAGCTGCAGGAATGCCAAACTGCTGTCAGCTGAACTACTCAGTCGACAGCATATGGAATCAACCTAATCATTCACCTTGTTTTTCAGAGCAGAAGCTTGTACAGTAAATAAAGACTAATAGGGACCATCATCCCTTCCGGAAGATGAAGGGCCTGTATTTGCAAAGCTGCCTAGAAGACAAGCACCAAACCTAGTGTGGATGGACATGAGTTAAAGCAGATATTTTTACACACAGTGAGGGAAGGCCAGCTGAGTCAGTTTGTGTTAGTCTAACTGCTCCAGAGGTCAAGCGCTGCCTTACAAGATCTGTTTTCTGCAGCAGAGGCATACCCCTGCTTTCCTGTCTCTCTCAAAAGTCACTCACCTCTGCAAGCAGCCACTCCCTCCCATTCCAACCACTGGCAGGGACTGTGGTATACCACACTCTCCTCTGCCTGCTGTCTGTGGCTGCACAGCAGGGGAGACAGAAGGGAGGAGGCTGGAAAGGGAGAAGTGTTGTCACAGGAAGGAGAAGGGAAAACCTAGGTGGGACTGAGTGTCACACTTTGCTACACAGAAGTAGCAAAGAGCTATGCAGAGTACCTGCACTAGGAGTACCTTTTCTTCTTTCTTCATTTTTGCCGTGGGGAGCAAAACTCCACCCCAAAAGAAAGGCTTCCCCATTAAGAATGTTGAAGTCCTGCTTATCTCTATGGACTGGACTTCGCCTCAGTCTTGCTGTCTTTTATATATGTTTTAAATGTCTACTGGCCAATGCTCTCATGCAGCCCACTTACAGAGAAAGCCAGGAAGACTTGGTCACCTCCTCGAGTTAGCTCCTGGGACTATCACATAACCTAGCCCTGAGCATTGTCTTAATCGCCTCTCTAGACCACAGTCACGGGAATTACTATCCTCATCCTTTAAACTGAAGTCCTCATCCTTCAAAGAGTTACATGCTAGAGATTCACCATACCAGATGAGTGTATTGTGGGATTAGGCTCTAAGCTTTGTACAAGGTACTGTAAAATATGAAGTCCATAAATTTAAGAAGCTTTAAATGCCTTGAGCCTGGAACAAGAAACTAAAGAAAAATAACAAAATACACACTGTTAAAGTATGAGAAAGTAATTTTTCTGATTATTTTTGTTCTAAATAACTGTAAGGATAAACTCTTGAATAATTTTAAGGATGTAATTGGGTCTGCATCAGCAGGAGCTGGCTTTTTTGCACGTCCATCAGAAACACAGACACTTTCAACTTCTGCTTGCAGGCCCATGCATTGCTCTCAAATGCTTAAAAGCCTCCCTACATATGAAAATGCAGAGTTCAGACTGCCAAGAATCTGTAAAAGTAGTGTTTGGGCCTACTTTTCAACCTTCAAGTGAAGGGACAACTCTGAGATTTTGTTTATTTATTATATTATTCATTTGAATTACAAATACTGTATCTTATGCTTGACCTACTTAATAGCATCTCTTTCAAACAGGAAATGCTCTGAAGAAAACAAAAGCAAAATCTGAAGATTACCTGAACTGTCGCTGGAGCACAGCACTGCTTAGATGGGTTAAGGATAAAACCAATCGTCTATTGAAGAGAGCCATGTGGATTCTGGTAACAAACCTGCATAAGAAAGAAGAGAATTATGAACTCTGGAAAATGGATGGAATTTGGTTTGCTTCCTTTCCTTTACGTGAATCACACACCAGAGCCTCAGCACTTATTTAAAGGCTGCAATCCACAGCAGAGAGTGGCAGCAGCGCTCACAGCATGCTACAAAGCAGATCTACAACCTCTGCCTGACTTCAGGAGGCAGTGTAATTCAGACATATATACTACAAAGCTGGATTCAGTATTACTGCATTGCAGTTTCCTATGCACAAAGGTAAGGGCCCTTCTGTGTGCACTGTGAATCATGTAAGAAGCAGGTTTAGAATTTCAGATGTAAACTAGTTTAGTGGCTGTGGTGTCCAGTAAAAGCCATCAAGATTACTTGTAAATGCTACCAGAGTTACCTACAAAAACAAGCAAAAATCCTGAGATACTCTGCAGACTGGCATCAGAGCTTTAAAAAAACATTTGCCAGACAAGAAGCAAGTCAGAGCTCTGCTGGTAAGGGCACGCTCCCTCTTAGCATATAAAGGTGTTTAGCAGGCTGTCTTTGCAGACCACAGCATCACTGCTGCCAATCTTGCCCTGTTCAGGCTGCCTGGGGGAACAGTTCCCTGTAACTTTATAGTGCTCACTCAACCCAGAGCGAAACACCACCCCCGAAAGCAGCTGAGTTGGGTTACTCCGACTGAGTACCACACCCTGACTACACCTGACTACATCTACAGCAGTTCCCTAACCTCATTCTGTCAGACTGACGGGGACCAGCTTGCATGCACAGTCACAAAGGCTTATCTGAACCTGGATCACTTTCCCAGACATCATTAGGAAGCACTGACCCAGGTGGTTATGCTGGCAGATCCAAGTGAATGGAGAAAACATAGATCTAAAGCCAGTCCTCTTTCAGGCCAGCTCAGGTACAGCTAAGACTTTGCACCTGACTGTAACTACTGTCATGTGACAGTACTGCTGTGACCTTGGCAGTGTAACCAACACAGACATTGCTTCTCTCCTTAAAAATCCATTGACCTCATATCTCTCTTTGCCAGTTCTGATGAGTTTTGGGCCAAACTATAGCAATACATCATAAAGCCATTTTCTTGACTTTTATTTTAAAAACAAAGCTTAGCTTCTTTAGAGAGAAGAAACTAACCAGAGCCTTGTGACAGACGATGCCACAGCTCTTCTTATTACAACCAAGTCCAGCCTAAATCTTCACTCCCTCTTTCATTTTTTTTTCCTCCAGTGCATTTGCTTACTTGGCAGCTTTTCTACAGAACGAGTGTTACCTGAGAGCAAGATGAGAAGCATGAGAGATGTGCACCACAGCAGCTTTGAGCAGCATTTCCTGAGCAAAGCACACGATGTGTGGCAAACCATCTCGCCTGTCTTGCAGGCAGGTTTGGAAGAGAACAGCAACAGCCAAAGCTTAGATTTATTTACTAAACAAAGCCATTTTTCTGTGGGGTAGATCACCAAATGAGTTCAGGGCTTTCCCACACTGTCCCCTCTCTGAAATGAGACTCCAAGAAGGCTGTGTTTATGCCACAGTTCCTTACCTAGCTGCATGATCCTAATGACAGCAAGGCCCTGGGGCATTTAGAGTTCTTCTGCCAACCAAGGTCCAATACCTGGGCCTTGCTGCTGCTTGGATTTCTGAGCAAATTCAACTCTGTTGACTTGCTTAAGCCCACAGTCTGCCTTTGTCTTGTTCTGCTCTTGGGTGTACTGTCTCCCCATATGAAATTCAAATCCAGAAGGTAATACTGCTCCTACCTCCTCGAGAATCACACTGAGTATTTGGATCCCCATACAAAACCCAAACAAGCAGCAGCAAGTCAGCCTCTCTGGTGTCCTTGATGGGTGCTTCTTGGGGAGTCCAGCTGCTACTGTCACCTGTCTCTATTTTCCTGGCAGGCAAGGTGGCCTTAGTGGCTGGAGAGGATGGGTCTGCTCATCCTCTCCACTATATAAGACCAATAGGAGAGGTCTGCTGGCTCATGGCAAGGCACGCACAGGCACATGCTGTCAAAGGGACAGCAACATCAGGACCAGCATAGCTAGATACGCTAAAGGCACATCTAAAATGTCCTAAAGTGCTGCTTAAACTCTGAACTCTCTCCTCGTTCCTGGGTGGAGTCACTGGTTTTTTCTACCCTATGGCAGCAGTGAAGGTTTGAAGTTACAAAACTACCAGGAGAAGCATCAAGAGCATTAAATGTCTAAGGACTGTTTATTTTTCCAGATGACTCAGTACCCCTTTCTTAGCTAAGAATTATTTCTCGGCACGTTAGGATGTGTCACAAGCTAAGAAACTTCACATGATTGATTATTTGGTATGAAGCATCCTGTTAGGAACTTAGTAAACAGGGGGGATGCTTCCAATTAGCAGGAAGGTTCAGGGTGGAGGGAAGAGAAAAATGCATCTGTGGCATGGAGTACAGCATTCAAAGGTGCAAGTGGGTTCACAAAGAATGAGTCATAACTTCAGCTATCATAACATGCCAGTTTCCTTTCTAGAACCGAACAGCCAATAGTTTGGGTCTGTCTCCAGGTGCTCCTCAACCAGACCCAGTCCCAACTTGCTCCCTCTTGACCTTGATCTCTCCTGCCCCCAGTTTTCCCCTCTGTGAAGTGGCTAATTACTAAATAACTAAACTCCAAAGGGCACAGAGGCCCTTCACTCTGTCACACTCGGTGCTGCCACACGAACACTCCAAGGTGGTGCCAAAATTAAAGAGCCTCTATAAATTGATGACAGCCATCGGCCCCAGCGCTCCTGGTGCTTTTCTCCTTCCCAGTGCACATGTTGCCTCACACCAGTAGGCCTTAAAAAGGCTCAGAGGCTGCACTTAGCACAGGCACGGGGAATGCATGTGACTCGAGTATGCTTCTGAAGGTGGCTCTCCCCAGGTCATCAGGTTTCAGTGCTCAGGGACGTATGGGAAGAGTAACACCTTAACCTTCAAGCACAGGAAAATTTGCAAGAATTCCCAGTAGTCTTGCCCGGGAGTATTGCCCCTGTCAGTATTGCCCAAGTGATACAGGAGTGCAGCCCACAACACCCTGGGACAGGCAAAACACCACCACTGCTTAGTACTTAGTCACTAATACATCCCAGACCAAGGATTTATCTTGGAAGGGACTTTTGGAGGTCACCTAGTCCAATCTCCTGCTCAAGCAGGATTAATTCCCAAGTTGTTCATGCTAGGCAAAGGCAGTATTTAAATGGACACTGTCCTCAAATGAGAGGCCTAACACAAAGATTGATATAACATTGACCACTCATAGCTGCACCAAAGCAGTGATAAAGAACTGTGCAGAGAAACCTCTCTCCCAGTTCCTACCCTGCTGCAGTGGCTCTATCTCATAGTTAGACTAATTTTTTTAAATCAGCATCACAGAGACACTTGGCCCCTCTCCATATATCTGTTAAAAGTTAGCACAGACCTCAGACAAGAGCTCAGAGTAAGATTCGGAAAGGGGTGAAGAATTTGTTAATCAAATATTCACTAAAATGACCCAATTTCTACTTCATTAAATAAGTCTGAGTACACAATAACCTGCTGCGGTAAACACTCTCTTCTCAAGGGCCCTTCAGTCTTACTGCATTAAATGCAACAGACTGACATCGAATTCCAATACTGCACAACAAAGAACTCTTCACCAGTTATAAACCTCTGGAAGTTATTTATCCACTGCACCATTTTGAAGTGCTAAAGCTATCACCTTCACTATTTTTTCTTGATATTAAAGAGCTAACTTATATTTACTGCAATTTTTAGTTGTTTTTGAATGGAGAAATTCTGGAAAACTTCATCCTAGCTAACAGAATTGGGCCGCATACAGTATTTTCGTCAAATGTGTGCAAACACATGAGTAGATCACCTCAGGGAACTGATATAAAGCAAGGGCATCTTCCAGATAAGGAGAGCAGGATTACGTACTCACTTTGAATGAACATCAGGGCACACAGTACGAAGAAAGGAAGACCTGTGTCCCCCCATCACACATTTCCAGCACCTCCCTTATGCTGGCTTTAGCACTTATGTAAATCAGACAGTTTTCAGCTAGATCAGTTCCCTGATCCAACTCAACCTGTGGCCACGTGAATGCTGGTGGCAAAACACAAGACTGGGACTTCTCCTTTCACTGCCAACCCAGGCTTACGTGGTGACAGTATCTCCAAAGAAACACAAGGAGATTTGGACAAGAAAAGGACCTCTTTCATTAGAGCACAAACACCAACGTGCTTCACAAGAATGGTCTGCATGAATCTGCACTACTAACACGGCCATGGGAGCACTGAAAAGGTCTGTGTCTGAGCACTCAAGAGGCCAGTGCAACAGCTCTGACCAAGGTCTTATCAGTGGCGCATATCCTAAAAACCATTCCTACCCTGCCTGCATCCTAGGGTGAAGGCAATTTTAAAGAGTGCTGTTGCCTAGCAATCGAGTATTACTTTCCTTTTTAATCACAAGTTTGGAAACTGACACCTGCTCCCTATATTCCCAAGACCTGTAGTTCCATAACCATTCGGCTATTTCTTTTCCTTCTTTCTGCTAGTAACTCATCCACAAAAATAGGCCCCATGGAAAACCAATGGATGTTGCAAAGCAAATGCTGAGGCCTACTACCCAAGAGCCTGCTGTCAAATGCACAAAATAAACCAGGGAAAAATATTCTTCACTTTAATAGTAGTAGCCCGATCTGCACAAACAGTGGGGACCAACATCACCCTTTATCCTTCTAAAAGACCAAAACAGACATACTCCAGGCACCGTAAAGATTTGAACTGCATCTGTCATCCATCATTAAAACACAGGAAATAACCCCAAGACAGTACATGCAATGCAAATACCTAAACCCCTACTCTGCCACTGCAGGTTTATTTATAGACCAGCTGCCAGGGTGAACTACAAATGTGAACTAAAGGACTCAATCCATTCACAGCTCTCCTCATAAAGGAAACAATGTGATTAAGGGCTGTGTGTTAAAAATACACAAGCTATTCATTACCAAGACATAACTGGCTTTACATTAATGACAGACAAATAGGCCAGGAATCACAAAGAGGAATTAAGTCTTTTTTAACTCTGTTTATGAATAGGATTAGCTATTAAACAGGATATTTATTGATCCAAGCTACCATCAGAAACTCATTATAGGTACATGTGTTAACAATTTGGAAGCAAAACAAACCTCATTTTCCAGACGATAATCAGGAATGGCAGATAAAAAGAGATCTGAATACCTTTAAAAGAAAACGTACTTTTGATATTTTAAGTATCCAGAAGTCCCAACTTTTGTAAAGTAATTATGGCACTTACTGTTTTAGTATTCAAACACCTAAAGCCATTCTATATATTCATATTCACAGCACTGTACTAAAATAGGGAGGGATTATTCCCAGTGCACCACCACAAAATTAAGCTACGGAGAGGACAACTGCCTGTGCGAAGTCAAAGGAAATGAGCTGCAGAGCAGGTGCTGGGTTAACCCCAGAGGCTCTGCTCAGGTGTGATCTGTGGGGCTCAAGGTGAAGCCCAGAAAGGTCCCTCTCTGCCTTTGGAATTACATATGAATTCAGAGAACTAGCCACACTCCCATACCTTAATGCTGCCCACAAATGTATCTTTACTAGTTTTAGAAGTACTGAGGTCTCAAGAACAGGACAATGGTGGAAAGCCACAAGCTCAGATTCTGTTCCTGGCCCTGACCTGCGTGACCACGAACCAACCAGCAAGGTGCCCAGATAGCAGTAACCATGCTGGGGGGAGCTGGGGCAGGAAGAATGACACAAACAAGAAGGAAGAGAAGGTGGGCAGCTGTGGCTCAACCATAAAAAAAAAGTCAAGAACCCCTGACCTAGGCTAGTTGTTCACAGAACAAAGAGCAGCAGTGGCTCTGGGCCTCCCTGATAAAGCTACACCAGAAAAGCATGCCTAATAATGACAGAGCTCAGGCTTAAGAGGAATCTGACCTGGAGACAAAGGCATGTTTGCATCGCAAGGCAGCACAGAGCTACCTGCAGCTTTGCTGGCACAAGCCTCGTTTCTCACTCAGAGACTTCCCAAAACGTGAGAAACTTCCCTAAACTCGGTTTCTCTCCTTCCAAACAAGACCCTCCCAGGTAAGCCTGGAGAACTCTTGAACCAGGTAAGTGAAGACAGCTCAGATGAGCATCTCTCTACTGCTGTTAAAAAGGCTGGCTGCCCACCTGCCTTTACTACAGAATTATTCACACTTTTAAGAAATCTGTCACACATTCTTCTCCCTCAAATTGCCTCCCCTTACTCACAGGACCCCCAAAGGAGCTTTTTGGAGAACAACCAGCAAAGCACAGAGTAGTGCCCACACTTCCCGAGTCCCCATGCCACAACGCGAGTAAATGCCACACTTGTCAGGACACAGGAATTTCGGTCCTAACTTTGCTGCATGACTACTCATACCCACATAAGCCTAACTCCAGCAGTGCAGCCCCACATGAATTCTGAGCAAAGAAACTCTACTCTCTGAAGGACAAACGAGCAGGAGTTTCAGAATTGGGTTTTCCTCCTCCCTCCCCCAGGCCATACTGCTAGGGCGTGGACTGCAGCCCAAGGGAGCACAAGGTGCTGTTTTCAGTCATGCCATCTGCAGAGCGCAAGCGACACAAGGGCTCCAGGCTCGGCACAGCCCAGGCTCCGGCTCCCAGCTGCTTTCTCGCGGTGTCACCACTCTGCTGCGTCACGTGCCACTCAAACTTGCCCCGTGCATCTTCGGGGAGAGAGTTTCTCAATCCCTTCAGAGCAGCAGCCCACGCTCAGGGTTTACACGTTCCAGGCTCTGTGCACAGAGCATCAGGGACACCCCGCAAGAGGCTCCCTACGAGGGGCGGGCGGCAGGGCCGGGACGCGGGGGCAGGCAGGGCCCGGCCAGCCCCGGCGCCGCAGAGCATACAGGCGAGCATGGCCACGGCACAGCCCCAGCGCCCGGGGGCTGAGAGGGGCTGTCCGCGCCCCGAGAGGCGCGACCGCAGGGCCGGGTGAGGGCCTGGCGCAAGCGCCGGAGGAAGGCCAGCGCGCCGGGCCAGGCGGGCCCAGCACTGCCCCGTCGCTGGGCCCCCCCTTCTCCCGGGTACCGGCCCTGCCAGGCGCTACAGCACCGCAGCGCGCTGCGCTTCGCTCCCACCGTCCCGTCCCGTCCCGTCGTTCCCGGGGTCACCGCGCGCACCTCCGACGGGAGCGCGCGCCCTGCCGCCGACCGCAGCCCGCCGCGCGCACGCGCGGCACCGCCCCCCGCGGCGCTGCAGGGCCGGCGGCTGCGGGTCCCGCCCCCGCCGGGGCCCCGCCCCCGCCGAGCGCAGCCGAGCCCCGCCGGACCGAGCCGAGGCGAGCCCCGTCGGACCCAACCTAGCGCAGTCGGGCAGTCGCCGCTCGCTGCCGAGCGCGGCGGGGGGCAGCGCGGTACCGCAGCGCCCGGCCCAGGGGGAGCCCGTCCGCGCCTGACACGGCCGCCGGTAAGCGAGCGGGGACCTGCGGCACGGCTGGGGGGCGCGGCTGCCGCGGCTCCTCTAGGCCTGGCGGGGGCTTGCCGGCGGGGGACGGGGGGGGCGGTCGTGGCGCCGAGGCCGGGCCGGGCCGGGCCCCAGAGCCGATGCGCGGAGCCCTTGTCGGGGGCGGCGGGGCGGGGGGCGTCGCTGCCATCTTGGGGCGGAGCGGGGCGGGGGGCGCGCCCGGTGCGGCGCCCGTGCGGCGGCCTGGCCTCCCCCACCCGTCCCCCAGGGCCCGCTGGGGCTTCTTTCCGCCTCACAGGCGCCCGTCCTTTGCCGTCCCTCTGCTCCGCGGCTGCTGGGTGCCGTGGTTTGAGCACCCCGAGGGTCACCGGCCCCCTTCCCGCGGGGCGGCACCGGCCCCGTCTCGCCTGCTCTCGCCGCTTTTGTGCGTGCCCGGGGAGCTGCTGCTGCCCCCCCCTCCCTGCCGCTCGTCCGGGCGCCGCTGCCATGGCGAGCAGCAGCGAGGCAGCAGGGATGTTTCGAGGGTTGGAGTGTCGAGCAGGTTTCTGATACCGCCCTGCTTCTTCTACCCTGGAATACTTGGCGAAGGGCTGTCGGATGGGGTTCGTGTCCCTGGCCAGGTAGCCAAGCAGCCCCTTTCTGCTCTTGTCTCGATTGCCAGCCCCTCCGCATCAGCAAACCATGTTTTTATCTCCTGTCCTAGAGTGCGCCCTGTATGTAGCTACCTGCTGGAGAAGGCATCATGCCAAAAATCTGCAAGGTGGCTGCAGTCAACCTGGTGTCCATAGAAGGTTTGGTAGCTCTCAGCTGGATGGAGACCATGTGTTTTGGGGTTCTGAGCACCTCCCTCCCTTGCTCTCCCTATGAAAGTAGTTAGAAGCAAAAGGCCTATCAGTGTGTGTTCAGGGTGGCTAATTTAGTTGTGCGTAGTCCTCGAGGACTCCCGTCTCCCCTGGATTTGTCTGTTACTATGAAAGTGTCCTGCTCCATCACATCATGCTCTGGAGTAAGCACACATGGAAAGCCAGGGGTTGCAGGGCAGGAGCATCCCGTTAGCAGCAGTCCCATTAGCAAAGCCACTGAATGGTTGCATGGCACAAGTGCTCCTTGGATGATCCTGCAGATGCCCCGCCTGAGTGTGGGACAGAGCCTTTGCAAGTGTATTGCAGGAACCAGTACCGTTCCCCTCCAAACACTCGTGCTGTATGGTCCCTAATAGCTTTATATTCTCTTAACGCTTCTGAGAGAGTGGAAAGCCAACCACTCGGCTCCTAACTGACTCCAGGAGGACTCTGTTCAGGCCAGAAATAGCAAAGCATTAAGGACTACTTCTAATGACTGCAATTAGCTGGTGTCTACCTAGGAAAGGCTTTTTTCCTCTCGAGCCTTTTAGTAGTAGGAATCCACTATCTTTATGGGGAGAGAAGTCCATTCTACAGTCTTCGCCTGGATACCATAAGAGCAAAATAAACATGAAAGAAGATGCCTTTGAGGGGGTTGGGAAGAGGCTCTGGTTTGGCTCATAAGTATGTTTTGTTGCGCTAAGTTTGCTCTATTTTTGTCTGTTCCTGTCTTCAATAACCTTGGAAAGAACTGAAGCTACTGTATTTTCTGAGGGTGTCGGTTTTCTTGTCAAGAAGACGTTGCCGTGAGGCTTTGCAATGTTCCATTTTTTTGCCCTTTGACCAGAGTGCAGTGCGACTATCCTGAACTGTCCTGGAGCCATGAGTTGAGCCAAGAAAAGAAAAATACCGAGTGTGCTTTGCTTCTTGTTTGTTTGAGTTTCTAAAATTTTTTTCTTTCTGGGTTTTTAAAATATCCTTGGTTATATTTTTTAGCTTTCTTCAGCAACAGAGTGGGTTAGGAACTTGCTCTGAGGGTTTTCTAATACTGTTTTTGTAAAAAAAAAAATATTCATGAAATTATTTCATTCTTGGAACTAGAACTGTCAGAAAATCCCAGGTAGCATAAGGTTTGCAATAAAAGCCTGAGAGCTGGCAGTGCCAAGGCCCTGCTTTTTGTCTGTTGCTAGTTACACTTTCCCTGAGCCTCCTGTCATGGTGAGCCTTGCAGCGTCCTGCCAGCGGCTCCTCTGACACCCTCCTGTCCATACTGAGGGGCAATGCCAGCCTGCATCCTTCCTATAAGTGCCCCATCCTGGCAGCCAGGGTGAGGCTGTATGCTGAAGTCCCAAGGACTCCGCAGGCAGCACCTCCCGCTCCCAGGAAAGGCAGCTGTGACCTGCGTTGTGTCTGACGTGAAGCGTGCGCAGCCGTGGGGTGCCGGCTTCGTGAGGGAGGAGGCCCTGCATGTAGGATATTCCGTGTGCGCTGCTAATTGCAGGCAGTGCTGGTTATGGATACTGTGCATGATTTGCATATCAAAGCATCTGAGAGCTCTGCCGTGGGTAGGGATGGGCAAGGATGATAAGGATTGCTGGAAGCTGGGGCCAGATCTTCCTCGAGGCTTTTCGTGGTAGGCTGAAGATGAACGGAATGTTTGGAAAATGGAGTTTGTCTCCATGTCCTTGAGTGACAGCACCGTAAAGGCTTTTTTAATCTAGGTGCTCCTTTTCAGGGGTTGGGAACCAAGCAGTTCTTGGTGGCAGGGTACTCTGCTTCCTGCTGCTCCTGCCACTGAGAGCTTGCTGGGCAGCCCACAGTGTTGAGCCTGGGAGCCGTCCCCTCTCCTGGTGGGTCCTGCAGCAACTGGCCGGTGTGCCAAGCCCGCTGCCTCTTCTCCATGCTGCCTTTCACACAAGGAGGCAGAGGCCCAGCTTGGAGCTTTGAAGCAAAGGAGCAGGTTTGTTACTGGCTGAACTGGCTCTGCAGGGTCCCAGGCCTTGCCTGGTGGCTCAAGCGGCATTGAAGGGGGGACGGGGAGCGGCAGAGCCCCGAATGGGCCATGGCTTCTGAGATGCTGCGTGAGTCAGAGGAAGATTTGCCTATGTCTGGTCTCAACACAGCTGTCTGCTGTTCCTCCTTATTCTGGAAATGAACCTGGGGAGCTTGGAGCTTGCTTGTAGGCTGAACTGCAAACTGAAATGCAGATTTCCAGGAAGGGAGAGGGGTGGGAGGGAGTCCCTGCATCCCTCGGCCACTTTGATCTTAGCAAGTTCTGATGCTCTAGCTCTGAAGGACCACACTGTGGGGCAGCTGGCCTCTCTGAAGGTAGCTCTACGTTCATTGTGGGAGTGCCTGCGGCCTGGAACTGCAGCCCTCGCCCCGTCTCCTGTGCCTTGTGCAGCTCAGGCTGTTGCTGGGAAGGACTGCTCACCTCTCTGTCCATATGGGGACTTGATTTGTGCAGGAGCTGCCTTGAGCATGGCCTTCTTGGAAGTCTCTCTGCCTGCAGCCTTCATCCTGTCAGCAGCCCTCTGGTTTGTTCAGGGTAATGAGTTAGGGGGCAGGCCTGATGCACTGCCTAGAAAGTTGGTTAAAAGGAGAAAAATAAAAATCAAGAAAGGAAAAAGAAATGCATGTGCGTACACACTCTGCAACAGAGAGAGGGTGAGATGCGTGAAGTCAGTGCCGAGCTTGTAGAGCAAAGGCTTACGGCATGAAATGGCTTTTCTCTGAGTCTGCAGGCCTGTGGTTGGCACTGCCTTCTCTCTTCATGTCCTTCCAGCATGGAGCTGGGTGTCTGCCCTCTGCTCCAAATACAGATTAGCTGCAGGAAGCCTAGGACTCGCTTGCTTGTGAGATGCTTGTGAGACTTGCTTGTGAGATGCAGAACCCTTTCCTCAATGTTTTTCTGCACAGCGCTTGCTGACCATTACAGGGTTATCTTTGCATGCTCCCTATGTGTTCCCAGCACAGTGCTAAGCAGTGCTGGAAAGGCTTCTGTTCTCCCCATGGCTCTTGCATGTTGGTGTTACCTGCCTGCCATTCTTCCTCTGGTTTTCAAGTCCCTTCCTCCCCTCCTTCATAAAGCCAGGCCAGGGAGTGGAAAAGCTTTCCCAGTATCTCAGTGCTCTTCTCAGGCCAAACTCTTAGAGTGGCTACACAGCTTATATGAGCAAGATAGGGCTATGCTGGCATAGCCCACTGCATCTTTTGAGCAAAGTCTCCTGTTCTTGATGTACTTTGGTGTAATTGTTGATGCCAGCAGCCTTTGCCCTCATGGTTATTGTGCTGGGAAGAGAGAGAGGTCTTGTTTTATGCATGCTGTTTTTCCCCAGAGAAATTAGCAGTTGGTAGTACAGGTCTGGCTTAAAGCAAGGTTTCGAAGATTCCCGTTTGTGTTGGCTGTTTGTGCTATTGCATTAAAGAAAAGGGCTGGATCTCTTAAGGGACTGTGTTTGAAAGGTGACACATTGCATCAGCACAAGAGAAAGCGGTCACAGGCAGGATTCATGCTGCCTGTTTTCAGTATGTTCTGCAGTTGATTTCCTGAACCACCACAGCCATCGTACCTCTGAGCAGCAAGCTGAAAAACCTCCCTGCCTTTCTCTGTCTGGAAGAGTGGCTACTGCAGACCTTTCCTGTCCTTCTGTTC